TGGTGCTGATGCTCCTTAATGCATTTCCTTTCATTTCATTTTGGTTTTTGACATATTCAATTTCGCACCCGATGCCCTTCCATAAAGATGACAGACATCCAAGACTCTCTTGATGGATGAGTCTGTAGTGCAGATCAGAGTAGTGTCATCTGCATAAACAGAAGATTTAGCAACAACTGTAGACCCGGGTATACCGACCCCAACTACTTGTGGGTCTTTACGTATTTTAATAATAAAAGGCTCTAAAACCAAAATATAAAGTAAAGGTGAAAGGCTGCAGCCCTGACGGGCTGAGCGAGTCACGGGGAATGGTGGTGAAATATGCTGATTTACTATGACTGAAGATGATATGTGAGAATATAAAATTTGAATCCATTTAGTGAAGTTATTACCAAAGTTAAGGATTTAAGTGCTGAAAATAAAAATTCGTATGAAACACGATCAAAGGCCTTCTCCTGGTCAGGTAAATCTCTCTCTTGAACATAATCCACAACAGACCTTAATAGGTGGGCGTTGTCCAAGATTGATCTGCCTGGAACCGCACAAAAGTCCAAAACACCACCTAAACGCGTAGCTAAAACCTTCGAAAGAATCTTATAATCTATGTTCAAGAGAGAGACCGGTCGCCAATTCCCGACGCTCTCGGGATGCTCTAAGGTTTTACATAACAAAGTAATGTAAGAAAGACTCTGAGAAGCAGACAACGACCCCCCAGAGAAAATCAGACGGTAAAGTCTAACCAGAACATCACCGAGAACGTCAAAATTGGCGAGATAAAACTCCTTGGTCAGTCCATCCGGACCAGGAGACTTTTCATTTTTCATGGCAGATAAGGCATTGAAAATTTCATTCCTGGAGATCTCCCCCTCCAGCGAATCCCTAACAGCATCACTAAGAGAAGGCAGATCCTCCAAGAATGAATTAGCAACTGCAAGGTCAATTGTATCTTTTTTAAAAAGATTCGAATAAAAAGAATCAAAGGACTGCATGATCGTGCTGTTGGTGGTACAAGAAATGTCTCCATCCTGAATCCATGTAATGGTTTTCATGCTCCTTTCTGAGGAAAACCCTCGAAGGGTTTTCCCGATTCTCGATCAACTCAGCTTTGGACCGAACACGAGCACCGTCAATCCTCGCGTCTTCCAAACAACGGATCTGTTGTTTCACCTCGGACAGACGCGAAGAAAGACTTCCTGGAGCAGCAAGCTCGTGCTCGGCCAATGATCTGTATTCTCTTTTTAACGTAATGATTTCCTTATCTTTTTCATACTTATTCGTCTGCTGAAATTCCTTACAGAAGGCTTGAATTTTAATTTTGAAAATATCCCAATTATTTAAAGAGAGGTCTTGTAGCAGATAGTTGAAAGTATTGAAAAAGGATTTAAAATCTCGGATGAAAGTACTGCTGTTGACACTAGAGCAATTACTTTTCCAGTAGCCCCTACCTAATGAAATGTTGTGGTTCAATGTAAGATTAAAGGAAATGCAATGATGATCGGTGAAAATTAGAGGATGGTTCTCAAAAGAATGGGTATACTGTACGTATTTTGATTTAATGTAAAAACGATCTAAGCGGCAAGATACTGAAGAACTGTTCCATGTTGGTGAGACTTTATTAGGAGAATGATATCTAAAAACATCTTTGAAATTAAAATAAGTGATGAGATTATTGAAATTGGAAACACTAGACGACGTTTTGTCTAAATTCCCACCAGTTTTGTCTAAACTGTTATCAATAACAAAGTTAAAATCACCACCGATAACGACCAAACTGGAGGAAACCAAAACTCCATCCAGATTCTGTAAAAAGGCGTTTCGTTCCGATGGTACGTTAGGACAATAAATATTAACAAATCTTAAAGAACATTGGTCAATCTCAATGTCAAGAACAACCTGACGCCCCTCCAAATCAAAATGAAACTTATCTACGATGTAATTTAATGTGGATCTGAGAAGTATTGCTGTACCACAGCTATTTCTGGTACCAAAAGACCAAAAACATTTATATGTAAGTATATGTTCGAAATATCTTGCAATTTTAATGTTTGAAACATGTGTCTCCTGCAGGAATACTATATCGAATTTTTCTAACTGCAAGAAATTGTTAAGATAATGAATCTTATTTGGTCCTAAAAGACCGTTGCAATTTATAGAGGAGATTATTAGTTCCATAATGGAGGAGGTGAGAATAAAAGGTAAGTATAAGGATAAGGTAAGTAAACAAAAAATAAAGCAATTATAAAGGTAAGTACACAAATCAGGTCGGAGAGTCTTCAGAAGATCCATCGGGGTACTTCGATATTAAACTGATTTTTGGACCTAGATGAGGTGCCCGGAGCTTGCTCCGCCCTCATCACGGGTTGCCCTGGTATTGCAGTACTTCCAGGCGTGGTCCACCCTCATAATACAAATGAAAAGAATCCCCCCTTACTACCATGCCAGCTTGCTACTAGCATATGCCGTACACCTTCCAGAAGTGGGAAATTGGCGTGTGCCTCACAGCTCGGCTGAAAATCGACGTTTGCCCTACGCCTCACACTGCTTGTGCAAA